TACACTCTGTATGAGACCACCATCACTAGAGGAGGGATGCTACAGTCAGGTGACAATGTTCGGGATCGCGCCATGGTGAGTCATTGTTACTGCCCACAAAGCTGTGAGTAAAGACTCTGTTGAGGTTGCGTTACTTTTTACTTCTTAGTAGAATTATGGTTCATGCACTGAAAAACGGCTGGGTGAAAAATGGCAGCGCATCTGCATGCATGGTGAGTCGAAGACTTTTGGGCAATGGTGGTGTGACAAGAACTGCAAAGAAAAAATCCCCTTCAAGAACAACACACAAGGACAGAGAGCAGAAGATTGGTACAAAGTTAATATGAGTCGCCACGAGGACTGCGCGATGCTAATCGTGAGACGTTCTGATGAGATTTATTCGTTCTTATCCAAGGGAGTGAGTTTCCTCACAGCTCTGCCAAAGAACACTGCCATTAATAAAACATCTGCAAGTTTTTTCTCCAGTCAGAGTCACCAACTGATTTGTGTTTTCTAACACAAAAAAGCATTTTAGACCCAATGGCATAGAAACATCAGATCTTTACTGAAGTAGGTTGGTTGTTCTCTAAACTCATAAATTAAGGAGTGACACTTGGCAAGCATTGATGTCTGGAATTTAGCTTGACAAAATCAGCTAGCTTGCCATGTCACTGGTTATTGTTTGCTGAATATATATTTTTGGTTTTATTTATTTGTTTTGCAATATGTTGAGTGTTACTTCAGTTAGTGCTCTGGGTTAGCTAGGCCGTTGTGTAACCCTGCTCCCCTGAAGGTAGCTTACACTTCCTGCTACAGCTTCCTTTGCTCCGTCTACACAATTTTGCTCAATTATCATCTCCCTTCAGTGCTCTGTCAGGGATTTCCACCCATTGAGCTCAATTTCTTCTACTGAATTTCAACCGGGCCAATCAGCAAACAAAAAGGGGAGTTACGAATGATGGCATCAATGTTGTGTGCTGTTTTCAAGTTGTAGTCTTCCTCTACATGGTTGTAGTTTGGCAATGACAGCAGAGGAAGTGAACGAAGCCATTCAGTCTGTGTTGGGCACTCTTCCAAATATTGGGTCATTAAAGTCTGAGTCAGAGGAATGTATGAGACATTTTGTCCCTGGAAAGATAAAATCCAGTGGCCCTACTCCCCACAGGATTGTTTAAAGATCCTGTAGTGGCTTCCTTTGCGATCGAGCTAGCGCATTACATACGTCACGGCCAAAGTTAGTAGTTGGGTAAAATCAGATCCGATCATTTCAAACGTCAAGAGAGTCCACGCCTCCAGCAAGCAATCTTTTCATAATAACTGAGGGTTCAGATCCTCTAGATGAAGCAAAGCGTAGAACAAGTGGCTGTTTTTACCAGGCTCGCACTGGGTAGTTCCTTCGTCGTTTTGGTTTGAGTAAACTTTTGAAGTTTTATACATTGCATGAATGCCACATAAACTGTGGCACAGAACCACTTTTCTTGAAGGGAACCAGAACATGGGTATTTCATAAGTAAATTGAAAAATCCCATTTTGTCCTGCAGGTGTTTGTAGACAGAAAATATATTGGTCTTTTGAAGCGCCAGATCCTTGAGCTGGCTGTTCCTGATGGTAAGGTATGAACAATAAAGGTCCCTTTTTTATTGGCTGCGATGGAACCCAAAGTTGTGTCTGATTGGGTGTAAACATTGAAGTGTTTCATCCCCACAGGAAGAGAGGACTTTGAGCTTCCTGGTTGAAAACTGTGGACGAGCTCACCAAGGAAAAGACCTTGACAAACAACGTAAAGGTGACCAGCAGCAATGCCTGCAGATTCTTTGCTTTACATGCGATGAAATTACTCCCATTGTCAGAGGTTAGCTGATGAGTCACTTTTCATTTTTGCTCTCTCAGGTCTGGTGGGGGACATTTTATTCAACGGCATCCCCTTGCGGGGTTTTACAATATACAGCCTGGATATGAAACTCAACTTTATTGAAAGGTTTGTGTGAAATATTAAACTTTATTGAACAACCTGCATTCAACTTCCACCTGTGTTTGAAGGAATCTTTTTCAGTCTTAATCAGGCACCTTGGCAAAATCTCCCAGAAAGCCCCAGCTTTCCTGGATTTTTCATGGGAAGGGTGTTTGTGTACAGCTATCCGAGTGACACGTTTGTGAAGCTGCCAGTAAGTGAAATAAGACTTTAGTTTTTTCTTTTGTTTGTTTGTGTTTTAACACTGAAAAACTGATTGAAAAACTGAAAGCAGAATAGCAGAGGTTTCTTTAGTGTTTTGTTTGTGTGAATGATGCTGCAAAGCCAACTTATGCTCACTGATTTGTCTGTGTTGTTCTGTTTGCTAATGCAAATGTTTTAGGGCTGGGGAAAAGGTGTTGTGTTCATAAACAGTCTGAATCTCGGTCGCTATTGGTCACTGGGTCCACAGCAGTCCCTCTACCTCCCTGGGCCTTTTCTCCACAGTGGAATGAACCAGGTAAAGCTGCTCACAGACAGTCCTTTATTCAATCAATCAGGTTGTAAAAAGCGATGTCATTTATTTTAAAACATGCTTTGAAAAGGTTGATGTTGTAGTTAGGTGTAATAAAGTTACAGCAGCTATTCCTTCTTTTGTGAGTGTAACAGTGTAATGTTTAGGACTGCAACTTATGACTATTTTAGTTATCGATTAAACTATAATTACTATATACCCTTAGGTAATATTCAATATGCCTAAACAGCCCAACAATTCACTATACGCTGGTTATTCAATTCAATTCAAACATACCTTATTGATCCCAAAGGGAAATTAAATGTTGTTCAAGATTCTTTATAGAGTTGTTGCAGAGGTTGATGGCTGTGGGCAGGAAATATCTCCTGTAGCAGTCTGCATTACAACGAATTTGAAGAAGCCTCTGACTCAAGACACTCTGTTTTTATATTTTATGTTATATATGCCAGTCACATGAAGAGGATGCTCAGGATTGTCCCTGATTTTCTTGATTTTATGTAAAGGCCCTCTTTACACCGTCATTTCCAGGGGTTCTCCAGCAGTGCCCTACTCTAGTTAATCATTATTCTATCAGTCCTTGTGTGAATTTGTTTGTTTTGGACATAGAATCATCAAACATAAATCAGAGCAGATGTTTATATGTGTAATTCTTCCCTTTGTTTAATTAATTAGATCATTGTATTTGAGGAGAAGGAGGGAGACTCCAGTGTCCAGTTTGAGGATTCACCTGATCTGGGCATGGAAACAGAAATCGAGTGAACATCTGGGTGTGAAAATGATCCTCATCTTGATGTATAACATGTTTATTTTCCTGTTTTTACAAAATGTTTTTTACTGTGATTGTATTTGAATAAACGGTCTGTTTACGGTCTACAGTTATGTTGTACAACCATAAATTTTAAGTATTTTATAGTACACGTTAAGCACAGCTTTCCAGTTTTTAACCTACAAATTTGAAAAGTACATTTTTATTCAACCCTTTACTTGAATTTCCATGAATAGACCTAATGAGTAAATTTATGTGTAATATCAGTATAAATTCAGCTATTCTGAGATTTTTTAGCGAACATCGGATAGCAAACACCATAATGAACACATAGGAACGCAGCACACAGATCAGGGAGAGAGTGTGAAGTTTAAGACAGACTCTCCGATCTGTGGAACCCATGGAAATAAAAAAAAGTTAACAGGAGTATTGCTAAAAACACAAACCTACCAATATGCAGGGTGTCTGCTTGAACATCCTTAAAAAGGCTTAAGTTCTCTGATCTATGGAACCCATTGAAATAAAAAACAGGAGTATTGCTAAAACCACATGCTTAAAAAGTATTAAGTTCTAAAATTAAGGCCGTAAAATATCTTAATTGCATTTTTCCCTAAATTAAGTTAGCCTTAAAGCATAGGTCTTTAATGTTGTCGTGGCTGGACTATTTAATATTATACTGGTCATGCACAGGCATCTATACTATGTTCTTTTGGCTGCTGGTAACTATGAAATTACTTCACACTTATATAGCGCTTTTCTGGACAAAGATGCACACGCACATTCACACTGCAGGTGGCAAGCTACAGGACTGTAGCCAAAGATGCTCTGGGGTAGCCTGACAGAAGTGAGGCTGCCACACAGTGGCGCCATCAACCACCATGATCAGGCAAGATGAGTGAAGTGTCTGGCTCAGGGACACAAAAACAGAGACAAAATATGGAATAGTTCAAGGTGTATGAATACTTTTTCAAGCCACCGTATTAAGTTTGTGCTGCATGAGTGAAAAGGCAGCAGAATTAAATGAATACAAACACATGTGTAAAACAAAACCTTGCTTTATGGGACAGAATAAGTTGCTTGTTCCTGAAACCCAGACATCACTAAAACAGTTGTGTCCACGTGAATTGCAATGGTGCCCCCTGCAGGGCACACTGTGAACTGCGCAAACACTTCACACGTGACCTGTTCAGCAGAAGAGGCCTCAAAGTTAAAGTAAAGACACTGAATACGCCTCATCTACCTCAACACAGGTAAAGTTTCCACTGAATGCAAGTAAATGTGACTACGATTAAGGGAAAATTGTACAGCAGAGCTTTAACTCCAGTTCAGGAGATGTCTTTAGATGTCTCTTCTTTAACGCACCTGAGTCAAATCATGAGGTCAGAGGTCATTAGTACCACTCTGGAGAACTTGACTGTCCTAAGCAGCCATTTAATTCAGATGTGTTGGACCAGGACGTATCTAAATGTTGCAGGACACCCGACATCGATGCCTGGATCTGAGGATCCTGTTAGAGGATCAGTGTCTTCCTGCAGCAGCTCCATCGGATCAGAAGGTAGATGAGTTCTGAAAGATCCTGATCGTCCAGAAAGTGAAATGACACCAGACCCGATCCATCAGTCAGCCGTTTCGTCCTGTGTAGAGACAAATATAAAATGTTATTGATACACATAGAAATTCAATAAACTAGAATTGAAAGATAATTTATTTCACTTAATTAAATTCACTTAGTGAATAAAGTAAAAGGCAAATCAAAAGATCTCACAAACTATATATACAAATCAGTGATTCTTGAGAATAGNGACAAAACACGTCCTATGGATAAAGCNCAAAATTTGAATAAAATATACACAAAATATAATTTTTTCAAATATCTGACTAAACTAACCTGGGTCATGTGAGCACAACAATGTATATTTTCCAGGTATTTGCTGAATATTTTTTTTATTTTAAACATTGTAGTTGGTGGATGATGCGAGAAGGACCTCGCTGCAGCAAACAGAAAGGGCGGGGACGGACCATTGTCAGTCTCTTACCGTATTTGGAAATGGGGCCATTGCAATCCGGAAGTGAAGGGGGCGCTTGTTCCTATACTTCCGTTTTTATTTTCTTTTGAAATCTGTGATATATTTTCACCTTTAGGAAGGAGTTTCACTCTCAGAATGTATTTGAACTTCTCTCTTTTATTTACTTCACGGCAGCTCACAGTTTTAAGCAAATTCTGTAGCTTTCGGTGTACTTCTAAATCTGCTCCTTAGTCGCATCTTTTCGGGCCTGCTACTGCCTCTAGTGGCCTGGGGGTGGTAACACAACCAATATAGTTACATTACTAAATCAGAATACCACAAATTCTTTATTATTTACTATTAATTCTGGCATTACTGGCATTGTAAAACAACATATTTTTTTATTTTCTTAAGGAAGTAGAGCTAGTTAAATGACAAACAATACCTTTATACATTATAAATAAATTCTATATAGCTCCATCAATTATAGGAAGAACAAAAGAAATAAGGAGACATGAAAAACAACATAATCAACTATAATAAAAATATCATTTGCAATGTATACATAAGAAATTTAATTGAGCAAAAGTCAATAACAAACACATGAATTACAGAAGAATAACAATCCAGGTTGTTACAACCAGTGTTGTTAAACAGATAAGCAAAAAATATTTTTTTTGCTTTTACAGTGCCGACTTTTTATTGTAGAGTCTTATATATATATATATATATATATATATATATATAAATAAGATGAAACTATTTAATCTATCAACGAGAAATTTTTCCTTTAACTCTAAAGGAAAATTAAAAGTTAAAAGGAACCTTACAACTTGGGATGGTAGAGGACGCAAGTCACGCAACTTGGGAGAGGACGCTGGCGCTGAATGTTCACCGCTTCTCCACGAAAAACAAGCCGCTCTGTCGTGGCCAGCTGCCGTCATCTCTTACAGGATTTTCTCCTGTGCTATTCTTCAAGTTATGCTGTGGATTGTATCGCTCTGCTTCCTGAATATCTGTCTTGGAGCCGTGGGTCTGCTATTAGCGGTTAGCTCTATGCTAGCTTCTCCCGGATTGGCTGGCTCGTCGATGTTGACCTATTCCGCTTCCCAGCTGATTGGACTTAACAACTGCTCCATCCCACCTTGTGTTTCCATCTTAAAATCACTGGGTCTTCTGGTCACAAAGAGAGGGAAGGTCGTCCACACAGAAGGGGTCTCGCACCCAGAAGGAACAACAGCAGACACAGAGGACAGTTACATGTACCTGGGAATACCGCAAGCAAATGGCAACCTTGGTGAGGTCACAAGGAAAGGAGCCACAGCCAAATGCCTCCAAAGAATAAGGCAAGTCCTGAGAAGCCAGCTCAATGGCAAGAACAAGATCCATGCAATAAACAACTACACCTTACCAGTAATCAGAGACCCTGCAGGAATAACTAGCTGGTCAATGGAAGAGATAAAGACCACGGATGTTAAGACACTCAGAAACTACAAACCATGCATGGAGGGTTCCACCCCAAACCCAGCACTCTGACTAAACACGAGTCACAAGGACTATGAACAATATATAAATAATTAAATTGTGGAGGGCCCCCTGCTGGTCATGGCCCCTAGAATTGTCATCACTTTTCACCCCTTTACCGCGCTCCTGAGTAAAGGCATACATGGCACATGAAAATATACTGAAGACGAATAACTCGCCTTTAAAGAAGCTCTGCTTCTTCCGATGTGCAAGTCCACAAACTTTCTGGAAGCCTCCTGCACCTTCCCACGCACCGCTGAGCTGAAGCATTCACTCCAGTGACAAAAATAGTCAAATCCAGTTTACTCAAAATAAAGTAGTCTTGTACTTTTCTCAGGCCAAACATGTACATTGCTCACATTACTTGAGTTGAATAAACAATTTAGTGACACTTGAGT